GTATGTCACGTGAACAAAGACTGTCAAATTCGCCCTTGTTTTCATGGCTATAGTACTCAAGCAGGTTAATAAGCTTATGTTTCCAGCTGAACATGTCATTGCATGTGCTCTGCTGATAATGGTTACCTTGCGTCTTGCCAACACACAGGTGAGTTCTGGCACACATTAACACACTCTCAAATATTCACAGGCCATGAGGAGATACTGGGACTGAACGAGCTCTGCTGCTTTCATATGGGAAGTTTGGCACATGCTTGCTGTATTGTTTACTTGTTATGGCTTGAGCCAAAACACATTTGTCACCAGCATAATACATTTAAATAAAGGCAATGCATTAACATTTAAATCAACATTACAGCAAACCCTTTGGAGTCTTAAATTCAAAACTTGACATGTCTTGGCTGAACTGCAACCTTGTAACCTGAGGCACAAGTCGAGTTTTGATCGTGACTTGAGATTTGAGATTTGACTGACTTGAAAAATAGCATCTTGGATCCAAGCTTCAACAGTATATGTGCTGAATCAGAGCCACCGACTGACAGAAATTCCCTGCACTGGGATCAGACCCGACTTAATCATGCAAAAAAACAAAATATGATGCAAGTAGCGGTGGCATGAACTCAGATCACAGACTTTTAAAGCAACAGCAAACAGAACATTATCATGATGTCCTGCATCTTAATTAGGACATTTAAAAAATCATATAAAACCTTGATGTGCAGTTCAGTTTGAGTATCTGTAGCCACAAAGGTGCCTATATTCACAACAAATACATGCCAGCTGTTCAACACTCAAACTCTGGGAACACAAGCACTAAACCAGAGTCATAACCTTCTGCTTTTATCCAGCTCTCAAGAGATGGAGGGTAAAACAGAGATGAAGCACGTTCTGAAGTTTGAGAGTTCAGAGATATTTGAAGAGCACTGCACTTTTATTTGACTTCTGCTGTCTGCAGGAGAACAAATCTCAATTGAAGGACTGCCAATCAAGATTGTGAGGTGAGGTGTGTGTCCAAATGTGCTGGTATTGTGCTTCGATTATATATAAGCACTCCTATTTTTCATCATTTTATGAAAGCAGTATTTAGCTAAATTAATAAATGAATGAATGAATACAATTCAATAATGTACTGTAGTTTTTAAATAAAAGTGTGTGTGCAACCATGTAGGTGTTTTGTTTTGATTACTCAGTATTTAGCTAAATTTAGCAAAAAACAATTTTTTGCAAATTGCAAATATATATTTTTAAATAAAGAAATAATGTGTGCAAACATGTAGGTGTTTTGCTAGTATACAATAACAGAGGGAATAAGCACTCCTGTTTTCCATCATTATATGAAAGTAGTATTTTGTAAAATAAATAAATGAATCAATAATTTTTTTATTAATAAATAAATGAAAAAATGTATGTTTTGCTAGTCTTTGATTACTGTGTGGAGTAAATAAATGAATGAATAAATAAATAACATATGCATGCACTCACGCAAAATTCAGCAAAATATTTAGAAACATTATTTTTTTAAATAATTTTTTATTTAAAAATATAATTGTCATTAAAAATGTAAATATTTTTTGTTAAATAAATAAAATAAATGTCTAGGTGTTTTGCTAGTCTTCGATTACTGAGGGGGCAAGGACTCCTGCTTTTCATCATTATATGAAAGCTGTATTTTGTAAATAAATAAATACATAAATACGTTTTAATACATAAATAAATAAATAAATAAATAAATAAATAAAATAAAAATTGTGTAGGTGTTTTTCTTGTTTTTGATTACTGTGTGGGCTAAATAAATAAACAAAAACAAACAAATGTTTAAAAATTTACAAATGAATACATACAAAAAAAAAACATTAATTCATTTTTTAAACCTGACAGATTATTATCACAGATCCTTGTCCCTCTGAACTTAATTTCATCCACAGACCTCTGTTACAAGCCTTTAAATCTCTAACAAAGACATGTCAGAGACAAAGGCCACAAGTGAGAGCACCGCACTGCCGCGGCTGCAATGTTCTCTGTGTTAATGTTTGGCGCCGCTGTTAATTTGACACGGGATCTTTATGAGTCCCTGAGTCACTCTCGTGAAGTGTGTGTGTGTGTGTGTGTGTGTGTGTGTGCGCACCAATGTGAGTGCAGGTCAACCGGACAGCATTTATCTTCACCGACACACTGATTAGATGCGATCTCTTGTCGTCTGTGCTATTGTTTCACAGCACTAATAGCCTTAATGTTCAAGTGAGCCCTGATCTTGGCTCAGTGACACCTGTGAGCTCATAACTGAGATCATTTACTGAGACTAGCTGTCTGTGATTGGGGTCAATGCAAATATCATCTATGTCACAGAGGCAAGGAAGTCCGTCTTTCAGACTAAGCAAAGAAAAAGATGTTGGCATTTAGAATGGCATTAGATAGACAGTGTGATATAATCCTAAAATGCTAAAGTGTTTGACATTTCATAAACGAAAAGAAACACTCCGGTAATAAGATCCATTGTTCAGCTGACATCCTATTAGCTCTAATACTGACAGTAAATGAGCCATTGAAATGAACCCACAGAGACACGGAAAAATACAACCTGGAAAATGAAGCATTTTAAAAGCAAACTGGGTTTGGATTGCAGGGCGTACAATTGTTGGACGGAGTCTGCGCTCGCAGAGGTGCATTTAATCAGCAGAACAAGAGAGAGTAATGATCTCTGGCCTCTGATCTGATGTCTGAAGACTCCCATTGTAATGGAACAGCAAGATATCATAGTGTGAAGGATGACTCTGTAAATCTCTATACGTCTACATTCATCTGGGTGCATTTGAAAATAGCGTTTTCGTTTCGAAACAACCCAAACTATTGTTTATAAGCATTCTCCAAAAGTTGCTTGTCCACGCTGAAAAGCACTAAAAACTTACTTCAAATGCATAAACCATAATAAAAGTTCACTGGGATGATACAGAGAGAGCAGACGTAATAAAGTAACAAATGCTATTCTTTTTCAATCTTGTGCAGTTTATCTTGGGCAACTAAATAATAAAAAATAAATAAATAAACACACAAACAAATAAAACATCACAAAACAAACAAACAAACATGTGCATGCAACTCTGCATGTGTTTTACTTAGTGGCTATTTAGCAATATATTTAACAATATGCATTTTTAAATAAAAAATGAAATAAAAAATCTAAAACATTTTTACAAAATCATTTTTCTTAAAGAAAGAAAGAAATGTGTGCATGCAACTGTGCAGGTGTTTTCCTGAGTGGGTACTTTTGAAAAAAAAAAAAATAATAACAATACATTTTTAAATAAAAAATGAAATTAAATATTTAAATATTTTGTAAAATATTTCAAAATAAAATATTTCGCTATTTTTTTCTTACATAAATAAACGTGTGTGCAACCATGATGTTGCTAGTCTTTGATTTCTGTTTTTCATCATTGTATGACTGCATTATTTTGTAAAATAGATCAATAAATTCTCCATACTAGAGTTTCTAAGCTTTTTCCAAAAGATTCTTGTCCACCGAAATGTCAGAAAGTGCTAAAAACTTACTGCATTTGCGTAAAATGTCATAAACGGTCAGTGACATGATACTGAGAGACCAGAAGTAATAAAGTTCTCACGCTATTCTTCTGGCACGATCATTTTAATAGCAAAATATCTCAACACTGGTTCATCCAGGTTGCACTCAATCGCCATTACATCTAAAACCTCATATTTTGATGCCATCCAGTGATGACTGTACATTTTCTGCCAGTCCTCTATGAAGATTTTCAGATTGTGCACATTTGAATTTCCTGTTTTGATGAAGTTTATGCTCAGTTTTTCTCCTTCAGTGAGCAGGTTTGCATTGTTATCCAAAGAGAGAACCTCTCTCTCTTGTCATAAGCGCACCAGATTTGAATGTTGATGTATGAGAAAGTTATACGCTATCCTATTCAGTGTTTTATAGGAAAGAGCATGTAGTAAATGATGACTGGTTTTTATTCAGGGAAAAACTAACCAACTATCCTATAAGTGTTTCATTGCACACTGAAAAAAAAAATAGCTTCATGTTTTCATGCAATCGGAAATTGCTAGTAAATTTCACAATTAACCAGTAACACAATGATTTATATGTGTAACCTTTGAAGTAAAAAACAAACAAAAAACTACAATACTACAAAAATGAATCACTTGTTGTATTCCACATTTGTAAGTCGCTTTGCATCGAAGTGTCTGCTAAATGATATGCATTATAAATGTGTTCAAATGCTGGATGACTGCACTGAAAATTAATATTATTGAAAAATAGTAAGCATGAGAACTGCTGAGCAGGTCAACTTTTAATCAGACATGTCGGTGTCCGTTTTATTTTTATAATTATTATGGTTTAATGATTATTCAGTAACACTTTACAATAAGACCCGATCAACATTAACCAACGAGCAATTCGTTACAGTATTTATGAATCTTTGTTAACATTAGTCAATAAAAATGCAACTGTTCATTTTTAGTTCATGTTAGCTCAAGTCCATTAAATACTTTCTGATAACTAATAACTTTTGATTTTAATAATGTATTAATAAATGCAAAAATTTACATGAACTAAAAGGAATGCATGCTTTAGATGTATTTTTATTGTTAGTTCATCTTATCTAATAGAGCTCACTAATGTTAACAAATGAAACCTTATTGCAAAGTGTCACAGATTATTCCATTAATCTGCCATTTCTTTTTCTTTAAGCCTATAGTTCAAATCTAATGCATGTCCATTTAGATCTTAAAAGACACACGAATCCTGACAGCTTCACATAAACACTTACAAATTGTCTCCAAAGCTATCTTTCTACTGCATCCACAATCCTTTCATCTGCCTTTCCTTGAGCATCCATATATTCCCACTCATTTAAAACGTCCGAACAATTACTTAATTAGATATTTGTCATTCTGACAGGACATCAGAAAACATCTGCGCTGCACAAACTCTCGAACCGAAGCCCGTCTCTCTCTCTCTCTCTTACCCTCAGAGAAGCTGATAAGCCCCAGCAGATGAAGCAGTTTGAGCGAAGCGCACACGACCACCACGATGCCGAACGTCTGCAGACCCTCCGTTTCCCACATGGTGCTCACGGCGACCCCTTGCTCCTGCTCCTGCTCATGCCACCTGCCTGACTCTCCTGACCCCGCGCCAAACTCCTCCTCGCTCCGGTTTGCTCCCGCCGCCGGCACGGGAGCCCGAGGCACCCACGTGGCGCTGCGCTCCAGTTCCGCTGCAAATCCAGCCTGGGAGGCTGAGCTTCACCACTCGGAGTCCGAGTCTCCCCACACAGAAGAGTCAGAGGTACGAGTGTAAGTTTGCAATGTGAGGGTTCAGTGAGGGGAGGAGGGTGCAGAGACAAAGAGGCACAGAGAGAGAGATGAGGGGAGGGAGGGAAAGGAAATGAGGAGAGCGGTGCGAAATTATAAAGGAAAAGTGTGAAGAAAAAGTAATATTCAGTCGCTTTCTCTTCCTGTCCTCACTTCCTTCGCTTAAAACCAGTTCAATCTAATTCACACCTAATTTACACCACTGACACAGACCGGCATGCCACATGACCTGTACATCAGCATAACATGCTGTTTAGACCAGAGCAAAAATCAATGCATAATGAACTCATCCTTTAAACGCCTTGACTGTGCATTTATTTGCACGATGTCTATACTCTAAGGAAACCTCCAGCATCTATTACACGATTGAAGAGGAAAGTCAATGACCTGCTAAAGTGCACTCGCTTAAAGGTGGGTGGGGTAAGCGATTTTTCAAAAAACGCTTTAGAAAACTGATTCGGGCCGAATAGCAAAACAAACTTGTAGCCAATCAGCAGTAAGGGGCGTGTCTACTCATGATGTGGAGGAGAGAGCGTTCAGTGCACGGGACGGACATTAGCAGAGCGACAGAAAGATAGAGATGGCCGATAAAAAACAAAATAGAGATAATTAACAAAAGAAGGCTTAAGGCAATAAGGCAAGAAGTAAGACCCGTGTAATAACTGATTATAATGAGTTCTATAGTATTTTGTCGCGCCGCACCAGTGTAGACACGGTGTAGACACCGGTGTAGACACGGTGTAACATTGGTTTAGCTTTGTTTCACAGAACTAATCGTTGCCTGGGTTGCGTACGTATGTGTGGGGCGGAGCTATCAAAATAGGGGCGAGACCCTTTTGGGGTAGGGGCGTGTTTGTTTTGGTAATTTGAAATATCAACATTAGCTACCAGAAATCGCTTACCCCACCTTTAAAGGGACAATTCACATTACAATTCTGCAATTATTTATTCACCCTCACAGATCCACATTGCTGTTATTGTTTTCAATATGCTGCTTTTTTTCCATACAAGTTTAGCAACCACAGGCTATAAAAACTCCATAAAAGCAGTCCGTTATGACTCACGAGCTCTATTTCAATTCCTTCGGAAGTCATAGTTTTTCATAGTTTTGTGTGAGAAACTTTCTGAATTTTAAATCAATATTCGCTCATTCAATACAAATCATTCATACTATCTTGTAAAAGTACATTTCATTTTATTGAATGTGCACTTCAATCTTAAAAGTATTTTTTTAAATATATTTAATCTGCAACTATACTTGCAGATTATATAACATTAAGGAAATAAAGCAATTGTCGAACACATTTTTAAATTAAAAGTTATATTTTTAAATAATCGTTAAAGAAGTACACTTATTTTGATGCGTTGACTAACATACTAATTCATATGTAAGGTACTCAATTATAATTTTAAATGCAGAGTTATTCAATACACAAAGTTATTTAAATTATATGTTGCAACTTTATCATTTCAAATGTGTAATTACAAATATATATATGACACAAATTTCAGTAAAAATGATATTAAAGAACATTTTAATGATCTTAACTGCTTGTTGGCAGGACACTTAACAATATTTCGAAAAAAGTGGGGGTGATTATGAAATTACATATACGAATGTACTTAAATCCTACTTAAGTGGGTCAAAAAATGAGAATACATTTCTGCTAATACGTAGCTTTTAATATAAATGAAAAATATAATACAATTTCATTTGCAATTAACATGCAAATATATATATATATATATATATATACATACATACATACATACATATAGTATTCTTTTTAAAATAAGTGTACTTTCACAATTACAAAAACGTCAGCATGAAGGTATGGAATAAGAGTTAAAAAATAATGACAATGTCAACTTTCCTTTAGCAATCAAAAGTCAACTAAACATAATTTAGTGCAAAACTCTTCATAGCTTAGAACTACTACTTTTGAGCAGTCATTCAAAGAGAGTGGTCTGTATTTACTACAGCACATTCTAGCATCATAAAAGCCACTATCAATGCTCCTTCCCTAAAAATGCATGACTACTGCCACCTTCTGGCCCACAATATCAGCCAATGCCTTGAGCTTCAGTTGAGAGATGTCAAAGGATTGTAACATTACACTAACACTTCAGTTTCGCAGTCTTACAAGATTTGCATTCATTTTCCAGCATAATTCATAAACAGTGCCATTTGCATGTATTACAGTTAATTCAGCCAAATCTCTAACTGCTTAAAGGTCTCATACCAAATGATTTTATTCCTTTTTTGGAGCAAATCATTTAGTTGTAGGGTTATTAATGTCGCTCATGTAATTATGCAGATTATGCCTACAGCCATTTTTAATTTTGCTCATTGTGTCCCCCCCCCCCT